GGTGTGTCGCTAGGTGAGAAATCCCTTGCTGCCTTTGTTGCATCTCACTTGAGCTGCTGAGTGTGTTTTCCTTGGCGCCACTTGGAAATGGAGCAGATTAAAGGCCACCTGCAAGTGGGTTTGCCGTGAAAAGCAGATGTGGGCTGAACTGGCAAACATATAAGGGGTTTCAAGAGGAAACAGGAACACTTGAGCTGCTGCTGTTTAGACTTTCCATGAAGATTTGATGTAACTCATCTTGTTCCCCAATTTTGCTTTGTTGTAAGAAACTAGTGTGGTGTAGTTTCTAGTGTGGTGATGGAGCTGGTGTGATGTAGTGGTTTGAGCATTGGACTATGACTCTGGAGATCAGGGTTCGAATCCTGGCTCAGCCATGGAAACTCATTGGGGGATCTTGGGCAAGTCACATTCTCTCAGCCTCAGAGGATGGCAATGGTGACCCCCCCTGAAGAAAGAAAGCCCCATGATAGGGTCACCATAAATCAGAAATTACTTGAAGGCACACAACACACTTCAGTATACATGGTACTTTACACGAGTAATTTCCAGTTGTTAATTTGACAGTTTTGTATCCTCTAGCCTTAGAGCTGCTGTAAATAAGAAACAACAACACAACAACACACAACAACAACAACAACAAGAGACTCAAAATGTTATATTTTTGGACTACAGTTCCTGGAATACTGCAGCCATGTGAGATGGGGATTCCCCAGTGTTGCTCACAGATTAAAAGGTGTGGATAATCTCATACAACTGGAGATGGGGAAAATAATTTGAGGGATGGATCTCCTCCTCACTGCCTCCCCCTGTGATGGTTGCCATGGCAGATGAGAGTGTTGTGTTGTGTTGTACCCTGTTCTTTGTATGGAGAAGATGTAGAAAGAGTGAAGCCAAGTCTTTGGCCAAGAATACTGGATGGAGAAACTATATTTACCAATTCTAGGAATAGCTTCGATCTTCACCCATTTAAAAACTGAGTGGGATCCTTTTTGGGGGACAAGATAGTCTAGAACACTGCTTCAAAAACTATCTGATGTGAGTGCCATTTTTCTTTTTCCAATATACCATGGACCAGTACCGTATTGGTTACCATTGGCTACTATTATTTCTTTCTTGCCTGGAAACTCTGCAGGGATGGGTAACTGATGCCTCATAGACTGACACTGGTCCAGGAATCACCATTTTGAGTAACGCTGCTCTAGAAAAGCATAGTTGTCCTACAATATATTATCAGTAGGTGCAAATATACTTCAGCAGCTGCCATGTGTGAAAACTGCAGAGCTTGAGAAAGTTTCTCTCTTATTAATACAGTTTCTGGAAAATCCCAGAAAAAAATCTGGGAACTTTTCAAAGCTCTGGACAAAAAAAAAAATGTGTGACTGCGTACCCCGTAGTGCTTCATGCTCAAATGCGAACACTGAGCTTTGTGAAGGCTAAAGCCAAGATGCATTCATCTCCTCAGATATAAGGAAGGAGTCAAACTCTAAAGCAAGGCTGTGGAACATTTTTCAGACTGAAGCCACATTCCTATGCAGGCAGCTCCACTTGTCCCAATGCCATAATTACTCTTGAAACCACCATAGCCACCTTTTGAGACCAGAGAATGGATGGACTCCCCTGTCAATCCTAACAATTGCAAGAGAGAAAGACCCTAAGGAGGGAAACAGGAGCTGATCAGGGAGGCTTTGCAGGTTGCAGATTCCTTAACGTCTAAAAAATGCTGATGCTAGCAAATGCTAAAGAATCTTAACCACAGAAGGCAAATAAATAAATAAATAAATAAATGGGAGCTGTAATGTTACCATCACAGGCTGCATCTGCACTGCAGAAATAATCCAGGTTGATGCTGCTTCAACTGCCATGGTTCAATGCTATAGAATTCTGGAAATTGTGGTAGTTGTTTTTTTTTTAAGACATTTAACCATCTCTATCAGAGTGCTGTGATGCCACAACAAACTACAGTTCCCAGAATTCCGTGGCATTGACCCATGGCAGTTAAAGTGCTGCCAACATGGATTATTTCTACAGTGTGGATGCAGTCTTAGATGAGCTGCAGAAAACATGGACTCTCCCTAATAATAAAAGCCTTAGATTTATTAGCTGGGGTGGAATCTGGGAATTAGATCCTCTCTAACTGTCCCAGTTTGACAGGGACAGTTCCAGTTAATCTGCTGTCCCACGTTTTTCAACTGCTTTTAAAATAGTCCAATTTCTCTCTCCTTCTCACACTTTCCTCCTTTGTCCTCAAATTACTTCAGTTGCTGCAAAGTACCGGTAAGTTGAAAGTGTAAATGTAGTTTGCACTCAATAAACTTAGAAGGGGGCAGAAGAGAAGGGGCAAAAATCTCACCCTTTTCTGAGCAACCTGTTGCAGGAGCAACCTGCTGCAGCCTCTCTTAGCTTGTCTGTTCTTCATTAATAACTTTTGCCATATTGACCGCACTCTTATGCAGCTTGGCCACATGTATCCCAGTTTCCATCTGTAATGCTGGGGGATACAGAATTGTAGTTCATAAAGTAACTTTCCCCAATTCTGAACTGGGAATAGGTGAAGTTAAAACATATATGAGAGCTGTCTTTAATTTTGCCTGTGTCTCTGAAGGCAAGGATCTCAGTAGCCCCAGTTCCTACTCAGTTCCGTATCTGTTTCTTTGGACTTTTGCCAAAATGCGTCATCCCAGCCCCTGATTCCTGCTTCCATCCTGAAGATTCAAAGCTGCTCTTAAAGTCTGCAGCCCCGCTCTTAGTAGTGCCTGTGGATTGGTTTGTCTTAATTTATTTGGAAAAAAAATAATCTGCTTTTTTGTTTCTTAAGAAACACACAAGGAGGCTCACAATATGGAGTCCAAAAACAATTAACCAACGTATTTTAAAAGCTTAATGAAATACACATAGTTTCAGAGACAGTGGAAATTAGAATGGATTTGCAAGGTTGCAAGAAACCATGAGAAAGCAAATGAGTCTTCCTTAGCACATTGATCCCCAGACTAGGTATGAATGGTAAGAAGATCCTTTCTGAAATGCATCCAGTTGCCTTGTTGACGTTGGAACCTGGAGGAGAAATCTGCCAATGGACTTTATATCCTGTGAGAAGGGCTGGAGCCCTAGCTGACATAGGACAATGTTGGGGGCAAATCTGCTGGTTAATCCACACAAAACCCAAACAGAAACTGGATTAGTGGCCCATGTTTTCACACAACGTCGCACAGAAACTGGACAGAAAGTGGACAGAAACTGGTGTTAACCGTGATCTGTTGAAATTCGGTTGTTTGGAGGAAATGCAAATGCGCAATTAAGGTAATTTTGCATTTACCGTAATGTGATAACCAAATGCAAATTTGGGAGCATTTCCCTGCTGTTGCCATGGTTCCAGCAAGCATTCCTCTATCTGCGCATGTGCAAGAAGCTCATTTCTAGTACATATACGGGCTTTTTCCACTAGTGTGTGGACGTTAAATGCGCTTACTGTAAATTCGCAATTAAGGTAATGACGTTTGCGGAATTAAGTTTTATTTCCCGTTTATTTTTGGAATGCCTCATTTCCACTTTATTTTCGCTTTCTGGCCCATGTGTGATAACGTCCATAGTCATCATTAATGTATTGGGCTTTGAAAATAAGGGACAGCCCCATTAATAGTTCACGGCTTGGAAAAGTTCCATTCTTGGACTGCAACCTCCAGAATCCCCAGGCCAACCTGTCCACCAGGCTCATAAATGAAACCAGTGAAACTATCATAAAAAAGTCAGAGTTTCCTGACGATTAGCTCTGATCAGCATTCTACTAACTGCACATTGGGCTGGTTGAATTTTCTGAGCACTTTTCAAGGATGGGTCCATGTAGGATACATAGAAGTAATCTAGCCTTGATGCAAGTAAGGACCATATCACCATAACTAAAAAAATAGCATTGCTCTCTTCATGTTTGGCTTCCCTTTTCTTACAGTGGTCCCTCCACATTTGCTGGAGTTAGGGTTACCCCCCCCCCATGAATGTGGGAAGACCACGAATAAAAATAACACTATTCTTTTTTTTCCTAAGAGAATGCTTCTCTAGGAATCTCCAGGTCCTTTGGTGCAACTCTACGGTTAACATCTGCCAGAAGTTGATAATAGAATCATACTGGCCTACAAAATGCCTAGAGAATTGTTTTCGCTAGGAATGTTTAGTTTCTCCAGCACAACTCTATGGTCAACTCCCAGCAGAATTGCGCTGGAGGAGTTAGAGATAAATAATCAAATATTGCAAATAATTGCAAATAATCAAATCTGCAAAACTCAAAGCCACACATGTGCAGGGCCAACTGTAGCTCTTGTCAAGAAAATACATACAACGGTGGTGATGCTACTGGAGAGAGACAGAGGTGTCATTTAGGGGGTGCAATTGCACTGGGTGAAACCTTGGATTCTTGGTGGGGCAGTCACTTACCATTTAATTATAAAAGTATTCATCTATAATGCCCTTTTCACCCTCTGTCCCAAGATCCCCCCCAATCACCCCCATAGGTTGTGGTTACTTGTGTGGGGAAGGGGTGCTGCTGCTGCTTGGCAGTGACTTCTGGATTTGGCATGCATGCCTGGTGGGCCGGACAAGGGAGATGACAGTGACAGTGGCAGCCACCGACTCCTCCTTAAAAGGAAAGGGGTCTGTGGCCACCTCTGCTGCCATCACTTCCCTTTCCCGCCTGCCAAAAGCCCCACAAAACCTAGAAGGGGCTGCCAGATGCCAGCAGCACCCTACCGCTACCGTGGTGAAGGTGGCCTGGCTGGCTGAATGGGGTGGCACGGGTGTGGGTCAGACAGTCTGGGGGTGACACCATGAGTTACTGCACCAACCCTAGTGATGCCACTGAGGAGAGACTCTTCTTCAGTGCAGTTACAACCCGCTGCTTGAAAAGCAAAATACTGTTCTACCATTTCTGCTGCATTCATGATGACTTATCAAGTGACTGAAACTATTGGGTTTAGTGCTGCATTCAGGGCCACTATCAGCACCCGACATCTAGCAGTGTGTCATAGTGGTTTGAGTGTTGGACTACGGCTCCGGAGGCCAGGGTTTGAATCCCAGCTCGGCTGTGAAATCCATAGGGTAGCCTTGGGCAAGTCACATTTTCTCAGCCTCATGGGAAGGCAATGGCACATTTATTATTAGCATTTGTACTATATTTATTTATATCCCACTTTCCCCCCAACAATCAGGATACAAATTGGGATCTTGGGATACAAAATTGGGATACAGAGGAGGAAAATTGGGATATTGGGATACAAAGGAGGCAAGATTTGTTGCCAAGAAAACCCCATAGATCACAAATGACTTGAAGGCACCCAACAGCAACAATGGCCCTGACTTTCTAGAGGGACCCCTGCTGATGTCTGCTGTAGAGCCTCTACCACCCTTGAAAACAAATGTATCCTAAAATCAAAATGAATAAAATGGGTCATACAAAAGCTTATAATTTGGTGATACTCCCTTAGCGTTGGGAAACTGGTAATTTGGGGACTTGTACAGGTGGCTCTTGACTGTGGTCTACTCAGAATAAAGCTAAATTTTTGCTTATTACTTCTTGCTAGCCTGTTTGTGGCCATTAAAACATTATGAAATGTTCCAGTGCTCTGAGGAACTCTGCAGCTGCGTCCTGCCCATCTTTTATTTTCCCACAATGCCCCTGATACTACATGGTCCTCAGGCATTGTGGGAAATTAAAGTGTGGCCAGATCTACCTGTCTTTCTAGGTGATGCCCCCACTGGTTACCAAATTTATCAAGGCTCATGGATAGAAAAGCAGGCATATTAGAAGCTAACTCCTACCCACAACCAGATCTGGCCTTCATAATGTAATAGGGCTGGCAGGGAACAGATTTTCTGTGGAGGGTGTTTTATTTTTAAAAAAGTATTGCCAGTTGTAGGTGGGAGGAGGTAATAGATTTTAAGGATCAAAGAATGGTCCTTGGTTCAGGGTCATTCATCTGTAATGCGCATGGAGGGAGCAGTTTGATCAGCCATGAAGCTTATGGTGTGGCCTTGGGCAAGCCACTCTCCATCTCCTCCTCTGCCTCACCTACTTTACAGGGTTACTGGGAGGATAATGTGGGATAAGGCTATATATACTGCCTGAAGCTCTTTGGCCGGAAGAAAGGTGATAAGGAAAGCTCTTCATGAAAGGTGAGCCCCCAATCTCTTGTTGGCATCTCATAGGAAAGTGAGCCTCCCTCTTCCTTCGCCCCCCATCATAAGAGGAATCAGTTGAAAATGGAAATATTTTTATTTTGTTTTGTGATCAATCTTTTCTTCTTGGCTTTTTAAAACCCAACAGCCATGCCTTCCTTCAATGGACTCCTAGTGGGCTTGTTATAATGTGCTTGAAGTGTTATGTACTCTGTTGCTTTGCCTTGGGTTGCATCTGCACTGCAAATTAATAAAGTTTGATACCATTTTAACTGCCATGGCTCAGTGCTATGGAATGCTGGGATTTGTAGCTTTGTGAGATATTTAGCCCTTTATCAGAGCCACAACTGCATGAAACCTTGGCATTTAAAGTGGTGTCAAACTGCCTTATTTCTGCAGAGCAGATGCAGTTGTATACTCTGATACAGCAGTCTTGCTTTTTTAAAAAAAATGTTTAAAAACCATTTCTGAAAACTGTACTAAAATCTGTGTGTGTTTACAGGGAGTCTGTAAAATAAACATCATTAAATATAGATCATTAAATATAGACAGGCTTCCTATGAAACACACACACATTGAATGTCTCTGATCTTGCTAGTTTCAAAGAAATTGAGTAGGCAATCTATTTTCTATATGTATAAATGCATGCATGTACATACATAATATTCTGCAACATTTTACAGATGAAAAACGAGACACATGGGGCCAAACAGAGTGTAGTCAACGTGTTCTTGCTGTTGTTGTATGCCTTCAAGTCATTTCTGAATTACAGCAACCCTAAGGATGGCAAGAATTATAATGTGGAAGAATATATAAGCCAAGAGAGTCTGCTTTGCTTTCTTCTGAATTTAGAGGGAAGGAGAAGTTTCCACCCCTTCTTGTAAACTACTTTTGAACTTTGAATTCAGTTTATAGCAATTGAAGTAAGCCATGACAAGGGAGGAAAGTGGGAGGAGGAGGAGAGAGAAACTGGGACACTTTAAAAGCAGCTGAAAAAGAGGGATGGCAGAGGATTAAGCAGGGCTGTTCCTTCCAAAATGGGACAGCCAGAGTGTGGTATATGTACTGTATATGTATAAGCCTACATATACATATACATATACATATACATATACATATACATATACATATACATATACATATACATATACATATACATATATGTGTGTGTATATATATATATATTTTGTCAGGGCCCACTTAAGCCCTGAAAAAGCCCCAATAAAAAAAGAGTACAATTTACTAGAAGCTGCCCCCTACTCACACCCAGATCTTGGCTTGGCTTGGAATGAATGAACACATATTCAACATATATGTGTGCCTACAAATTTATCTGTTCAAATCACTTCAGAACACAGACATTTGATTAGAAGTACTGCAGTAGCTTCTTCCACCAGGGAATTGTTACAAAAAGATGCACATTACAAGCATGGAAGGGCCTGTATTAGATTTATTTAGAAATAGATCCCCATGGGCCACAAACTAGCACCCTAGTGTTAAAAACATTGAAACAACAAAAGATGTGGTGATATAGTGGCTGTCTCTTTTATTTACATTTACACATAAGATTTCCAGCTGTTCAAGGCAACATATATATTCTTCTACTGTCTATATTTTATTTTGACAACCAATCTGTAAAGTAGGCTAGATTGAGAATTACTGGTGCACAGTCACTCATTAAGAACTTCATGGCTGACAGGATTCGAACCTGGGTCTTCCAGTCTTTGGAAGGGTGTGGAAGTTGTGGCTCTTTATATGTTGGATTGTAGCTTCTTTCCTCCCTGCATGCTAAGAATAATGGGAACTGGAATTCAACATCATCTAGAGGATCACAGCTTCCCAACCTTGAATGATGGGGTTTGTTCTTGAGTGGTAGGCTTGCATGGCTCATCTATGCACAGTGCAAGCCTAAGAATTTTTACTCAGAAGTAAATTGTACTCTTTTTCATTGGGGCTTTTTCAGGGCTTAAGTGTACGTACATACATACATATATACATACAATTTCAGTCAAAGTCTCTACCTCTTAGCTTAACCTGCTTCCCACATGATTTGGGGGATAAAATTGAGCTACATGCAGGAAGAGAGGGATTTAAGTGTGATAAGAAATCCCTTTCTTTTCATTTAGATAGCCCTCTTTCTGCTAATGCCAGGCTGGGAATTATGTGACCCTCCAGATGTAAGACAGCAACTCCCAGGAGCCTTAGCCAGCAAAGCAAAAAATGGTGGGTTTATGAGACCTGAAGCAAACCTTTGCATATGCATGTCTGCAAAGATTCACCGAGCTGTAGGGTCCTGATAAGGAGTGGTAGGGCCAGTGGTATGCCCAGCGGCTGAAGCATGGCATTTCCTATTTTATGGAGTCTAGGGCAATTTGCTCCCTGCCCTGAGCAGTCTGTATGGATCACTGTTCTTGCTATTTTATTTATTGGTTAATGTGTCATCACCTACTTTTCCTTCAATGACTCAAGATGGCTGTGGTTTGCAGGCCACTTCATGTGAGGGACTGGCCATTATTATTATTTTTTCCTTCCAAAATATCATCTCATTTGTGTCTATTGGCTAAAACTGCTTTTTGTTTCCTGGAAACTCATCAGGGACCAGCACCCAATGGCTTGGGGACTGGTGTCGGTCCATGGACTAACGCTTTGAGTTGTGCAGGTGTACATGGCTCTCCTCCTTTCCACTATAGTCCCACAACAGCCCTGTGAGGTAGTCAAGCTCAATGTGCATGACTGGCCTAAGGCCACACACTAGTAGCCTTCATTACTCTGGGGTAACTAGAACATAGATCTCATAAGTCCTAGTTCCAGACCCAACCCATTACCCAAAACTATCCCTGTTTCTTCTATTGTGTTCAGCCTGGCTATAGTTTTAATGCTTCAAGGAGCTCTCATATATATAGACAGACAGCAAAACACTCTGTAAACAAACTTTAAGGACCAAGGAGTTTCTCTCCACTTATTTCTCTTAAGATCTCCGTGGGGCACATCCTTTGGTATCATGTATTTATTCCCTTTCTGTGATTCTTTTCTGTTTATTGAACCCATTCTTATAGCCTGATCTTATTCAAATATTCAGTCCCACTGAGTATAATGAAACTTACTCCCTTGCCAGAGTGCAAAGATTGCAGCATTTTCTGTCTGTCCCAGTTATATTCTCCCAAAACTCAAAGTCCAAGTTACAAAATATATGAGGAAATCCTCTAAGTTAGATATTTTCGAATCTGAGACAGACTCTTGCATCAGGCAATCCAAAATCTGAATGCCTCTAAATCAGTGGCAGGCAAAGTATGGACCTCCAAATTATTGGATTGAAATTTCCATGAGCCCTAGCCAGTGGTGAAAGATGATGAGAATTGCAGTTCGACAACATTTGGAAGGCCTTAGGCTACCCCTCCTTACTCTAAACTAGAGCTCGGCAAAGTTATATTTTTGGAGTTTAACTATCCTAGCCAACATGGGAAGTGGGGGATTCTCAGAGTTGTAAAACAAACAATGTAATTTGCAGGGTCTGCTGTAAATGTCAGACGGTTGGATCTCCTTAGCAAAATGAAAACAGAAGCAAATAATAGCAAAATTCTGCTTGTTTCACTGAGAGAAAAAAAGCAAGCCAAAAATGTTTGCTCAGCACCTGCACCCACTCTCTCACACTGGCATGAATTTGCCGCTTCCGTAGCACTTGTACTCTGTCTCGTACATGCGGGGCACACACATGATCTCCACCACTGGCACCCGACAAGAGACTGTGGGTGGCTTCTCCACTGGGCAGAAGCGGTCCCAGGTGCGCTTGCAATCATTGGGAAGCTGGTAGGATTCTTGGGCCAGACTGAGCAGGCCATGGTGGGGAACTGCAGTTGTGTTGGGCGGTAGGCGGGGTACCCGGGTGGCATTGAGGAACTGGCAGATGTCCCGCATAGGCCCAGGTTCACGAATCAAAGGAAGGTCCCCACATTGCCCGGAAGTGAGAGCATCCTTTTTGGCATAGCCAAGTAGTTCCTTCCTGCAAGGAAAGGGAAGAGAGAGGAGGTACAATCAGAGCTCTTGCTTTCTCGAAAAGAGGATTAAACCAAAGTAGCCTATGGGAACAAATGTCTGCAGGGAGACAAAAGGCTACTTAACAAATAAGGCTTTGCAGGGAAATAATTCTTGGGGAAACAAAAGAACATTGGAGAATGTGGTATTGGCCATGGAACTCCTAAGAAGTTCCTTTGGTTTTTTTGCGGGGGGGGTGGGTTTCTAGCTTCTGAATTGAACTGAAACTAAGTAGATCATGCCTATTAAAATCACAAACCTCTGTGCAGTTGTTGGATAAGATCCAGTAATCCAGGGTTGAAAATCATGAATTCCTTCAAATATTGTTGGACTTCAGCTACCAGAGATTTACCTCTATTCACTTTTTCTAAACAATGATCAATTTATCCTCTCTATCATGTTCATCCAGACTCCACATTGTCTTTTTATTTCTAAACTCAACACCCACAATTATTGTAAACTTTTCCTCATAAGGGATGGCTCTAGCTTTCAGATCAAACTCTGGTAAAAACAAACCTTAAAGATTTGGTGTCCCCCAGCTGCTTTGTAACATTTTGCACCAGAATATGTCTCTATCACTGGTTTTAACAGTTTGCAGGTTTTGCACCCTTGCAATACTATACTTGGACTGAAAACAACTATGGATGTTATCACACGGGGGAAATCTGCTGGTTAATCCACACA